GTGTTTTGTGAGACACTTTGTCCACACTAACGCACGGATCAGTGTTCTTTGTTGGTTATCCTGGCGTCAGTGTCACTCTTAGTAGAGTCAAAGATAGTCTGCCAGACGCACAGTGCTCCATGCCGTCACTGCCCCCAGCACAAAAAAAAAACGCTGACCTAGTACCTTGCATCCTTGTCACCTCCTCGATGAAGCAAAGCAGAATGTTTGTTTCATGCTGTCTTAATCATAGACAACAATGTACACTATCTTTACTATGGTAATAAAGTGGGAGCAGGATTTTCCTTAATTGTCCTGCTAAGTAAGAGATGTACTGTCTCTTATAAAAATACACGTTGCAACACCGCTGCAAGGAGCAGAGGTCATTTGACTACGTGGCATAGCATCTGTGATCAATTACTCACTCTAGCAGTAAACAAGACGCTCACCCCTTCTGAGTGGCCCCTCAGGGCTGAGAGGGCGTGGCCCCTCAGGGCTGAAAGGGCTGAAGGGGGCTGATACCCCCCTCCTGGAGAAATTTCTCCACAACTACGGTCCTGTGCATATCTCAGTGTTCCACTCCATCATACTCGCTTGAGTGTCACACTACTGACCTAGCCCAGTTCAGTGTAACACTCCAACCTTATCTTCATGTAATGTCCCACTAAACAGCATCCGATGACTCCGGCCCACAGTTGATCAGCGTAGACGGTGAGTCCACAGACATCACCGGTAGTCCAGTAAATACTCTCCAAAGCCGGTTGACACACCGCTAGCGGAACACCATGCTGCAAGCTCACTGAATGCGGCCGTCAAGTAACTGAGGCCAACCGACTCAGTGAGCTGCGGTGAGCGGTTCTTCTAACGCCAGTAGATGGGTACGATTAGGTGTTCAGGTACCTACTGCGTAGATGCGTACCGTTAGGTGCTCAGGTACTTAACGTTTCTAAAGCCAGTAGATGTGTACGATTAGATGGTCAGGTACCTACTGCTTAGATGCGCACCGTGAGGCACTCAGGTACTTTTAATGTTTCTAAAGCCAGTAGATGTGTACGATTAGGTGGTCAGGTACCTACTGCTTAATCGCACCCAAGGGGGTTCAGGGACTTTAAAGCTTTTAGCTACCCTGAGGTGCTCAGGTACACAATGTTCTGAAGCCAGAGACGTACCCTTAGGGGTTAGGTACCTACTGCTTGGGGCGTACCGAAGCCCAGGGACTTAATGTTTCAAAGCCAGTAGAGTGTACGATTAGGGGGCAGGACCTACTCTTAGAGCGCACCGGAGGCACTCAGGGGATTTTAAAGTTTCAAACCAGAAGGGGTTTCATAGGGGGTTTATACCAATGCTTAGATCTTAAACCCCGGGATTTTAGGTACTTAATGCGCGTGCGTACCGGAGGTGCTCAGGTACATAATGTGCTGAAACAGTAATGTGTACATTAGGTGGGCGGTACCACTGCTTAATGCCACCGTGAGGCACCCAGGTACTTATCCTAAGGGCCCGAACGTGTACCATTAGGTGTCCAGGGACCTACTGCTTAAAGCCCCGTGAGGCACCAGGACTTAATGCTTACAAGCTAAACCAGTAGATGTGTACGATTTGGTGGTCAGGACCTACTGCTTAGAGACCCGTGAGCCTCAGGACATAATGTTGCTGAAACCATAACGTGAAACCCTTTGGTGTTCAGGGGACCTACTGCTTTGATGCGTACCCTGGGAGTTCAGGTACTTAATGTTTCTAAAGCCCGTAATGTTACGATTAGGGGTCAGTCCTACTGCTTTAATGCGTACCGAAGCCTCAGGTACTTAAAGCGCAGTGGCTACCGTGAGGTCTCAGGTACAAAAAGACAAGCCATAGTTGTACCATTAGGGGGCCAGGTACCTACTGCTTTAAAGCATACCCGGGAGTTCAGGTACTTAATGCTGCGTGCTACCGGGGTTCTCATACTAATGTAGCTGAACCAGAGATGTTCGATTTGGGGGTCAGTACCACTGCTTTTAAACGCACCGGAGGCACTCAGGTCTTAAAAGCTTTTAAAGCCTAAGGGACCATTAGGTGTCCAGGTACCTACTGCTTATTGGTACAGTGAGGGGTTCAGGTACATAATTTCTAAAGCCAGAACTGTACCCTTAGGTGTTCAGGGGACCCTGCTTAGGTGCGACCGAGAGGCGCTCAGGACTTAAAGCTCCCAAGGGCCGCCCCACAGTCCCCACTTGGGGTTTGATGACTTACCCCGTGGTACTGCCGGCCGCAGGTTAAATATTTAACCGCTAGTTTGGCAGGGGGGGCCCCAACACCCGGTTAAGACTTAACAGGACTTTTTTGGATAACTCTGGAAGGATTTTGCTGCCCGACCACGGAAGTGCGGTTTTTCTCTGCACCCCTCTGCTGTTTTTTAGGGAGTCCCATCATTTCCTCTGCAGCGGTTGAAGGTGCTGTCACGCCTCTGTTAACAACAAGGTACTGTGATTGTCAAAATGGCGGTTAGTCGAGACGCAGGAAAATACTGAGGCATGAGCACTTAAAGGAACGAAACGCCTAGTTCCGCAAATCTTATGCCAAAGATTTTCCGGGAGACATATGGCGTACAAAAGTGATTGTATGGTGTACATTAAACGGAAGCCAAAGAATATTTGTCAAAATGCTATCGCTACGGTTTAATGAATCGTTAGTCACCAGGTTTCAGGACGTAAGTCTTAGCGTCACACCAGCTGTCAGTGTAAGATTGATAATGTTTCGCGCATTATACGTGGATCAAGTTACGCAACGTTCCCTTTGAGGCGGACGAGGCGGATATAAGGAAAGTTTTTGAGACATATGGGACGGTGCATTATGCTCAACATGGTACGTGGGCGGCAGGTGCCTATGCTGGTTATCCAGAGGGTTCTTTCAACCTCAAAATGACGTTGAGGCACCCAATACCGTCTATGTGTATCTACAAGAAATTTTAGGACGCAGGTAATGGTAATGTACCCAGGGCAACGACGTACATGCCGCCTATGTGGTGAGTATGATCACATAGCGGCGACCTGTGACAAGCAAAGACGTGTGCCTGGACCTGTGGTGGATGTCGCAGCCCCTGCTTCAAAGGTGGCAGGTGAAAAACAAACATCGGATGGAGGGCGTGGTGTTTTGTGGAGCGAGATAGTGGATCGGGCACACAGGACTGGCGGTGAGTTGGAGTCCCTCCCCCAGCTGCCTGATCAGGTATCGTCTCCTGCGGATAAGGAGGAGCAGCAATTACAGGAGAAGGTTCTCGAGATTGAGGAAGAATTGGTGGAGGTGTTGAAGACTTTGTCACCACCAGAGAGGACGTTACATCTGGGCGTGGTGTCATCGGAGAGCCGTCGCTTCCAGAAAGTCGGAGACATGATAATTTGGGACGTGATGGTGGTTTGGAGTCGTCCGTTGAATCATTAAACCATTCTCAGGTAGAGGTGGAGGTTCATCGAGAGGCAACATCTGATCAAGATATGTGTAACATGACGGTCACGAGAAAGAGGGCGGCTACGTCAGATTCTGATGACGTCCTTACGCCTGCACAAAGGCCTGGGAAACAGACTGAGGTGAAGTGTGAAGGTAGTGGTGTAGGTGGTGGTAGCCATGATAGGAGGCACCGGAAGAAGGGGGGAGGGAAAGAGAGCACTCTGAAGGTGTCAAACTTAAATTCAATCTCTGGAGTTGTGAAGAGTGATGAGAGGAAGCAGGGGTGGAACTTTAATAGGCCTTAGGTGTATGTCTGTAAATGTAATGGGTTATGTAGCGGTATGAAGAGAAATTGGTTTCGTAATTTCCTGAAAACTAGAGT